CTAGAGACCCGATGACCCTTTGACTAACGAGTTGTTCATCTTCGGGGTTGAGGGTTTAGAATTTAGGGTCATCTCGAGCCTTTAGTTTAGGGTTTTAGGGTTTGAGGGTTTAGGGTTTTAGGGTTTAGGGATTGAGGGTTTAGGGTTTAGGGTTTTAGGGTTTAGGGTTTTAGGGTTTTAGGGTTTAGGGTTTTAGGGTTTAGGGTTTAGGGTTTAGGGCTTTAAATGCTAAGCCCCTCGAACCCTCAACCGTAAATCCTTAACCTCTAAACTCCATGCCCCGGGACCCTACACCCCAAACCCTAAACCCTAAACCCTAAATCCCAAACCCTAAACCCTAAATCCCTAACCCTATAAACCGTAAACCCTAAATCCTCAACCCAAAGCCCTAAACCCTAAACCCTGACACCTTAAACCCTAAACCCTAAACCCTAACACCCTAAATCCCACATCCTAAACCTCTGGACTCTGAGCCCCGAGACCCTACTTGGAGGCCCAGGGCGCGTAGTAAGTCGGTTATAAGTAGGGTTATAATGGGGGCAACTGCACTTAGGGTACCTATAAATCCATCTATAACCAAGGTACGTACTATGTCCCCTTGGTCTCTAAGTAAAGGCTCACCGGAAGGAACCAGGCCCTTCACGGAAAGCTTTACACGTTTTAGGGGTTTAGGGGTTTACAGGTTTAGGGGTTTAGGGTTTAGGGGTTTGGGTTTAGGGTTTAGGGGCTTCGGGGTTTAGAGGTTTAGGGGTTTAGGGTTTAGAGGTTTAGGGGTTTACGGTTTAGAGGTTTAGGGGTTCAGGGTTTAGGGTTTAGAGGTTTAGGGGTTTAGGGTTTAGAGGTTTAGGGGTACAGGGGTTTAGAGGTTTAGGGATTCAGGGGGTTTAGGCTTTTTATAGAACCTCGAAGCCGATGCCAGAAAAGCTTCGAACGGCAACCTCGCCGCGGCGGGCTTCGTTTCAATTGTTTCTATCTCACTATGTTACATTCGTCAACTGCATGCGCTGCCGCCATCCTTACCTTTTTAAGGCCTATGTAAGGAAATCGTAGTAAGGAACCCTAAGAAGGTAGGTTCTTTAGGGTCCATCCCTGCACATCAGGCACCAAGGTTCTCAACAAAAGCTTGGGTTTAGGGGGCTTGGGGTTAGGTTTCCGGGGTTTAGGGTTTGAATTCTTGTCAGGCTTGAACCTGAAGCTCTCTGATCCCCTTACCCCTCAATTCCCACCATGGACCTTAAAGCATCAAAAGCAATGCCGAACGGTCCAGCTTACCACGTCGTCACTTTGAGTTACTCGCTAGTTAAGCAATGCTGCATGGTGTATATTTTGCGCACACGTCAATACATGCATGTGTCTGTGTGTGTGTGTTATACACATATATATACACACATACATATAAGTGAATTTTGGTACGCACATGATCATTTATGCGCACATGTGCATACATGTTCTACATGTTCTTGCACAGCTTTGTTTGCGTAGTCAAGTTTACAATTTGTGCATGTGTGTGTGTGTGTGTGCGTGTGTGTGTGTGTGTTGGTGTTGCTGTTACCGGCTATGTTGATGTCTGCAGCAGTAGTAGAAGTAGTGGTGGTAGTAGTAGTAGTAGTAATAGCAGTAGTATTAGTAGGTTGCTGTTGTTGTTGTTGTTGCTGTTGCTGCTGCTGTTCTTGTTGTTCTCGTTGGTGCCGTTCTTGTACGTATATGAGGGGTGACTGTTCTATATTATAATGAATAGCTATAGCTAAAAAATATGTATGTATGTATATATACACATACATACATACATACATACATACATACATACATACAAATCTATATATATATATATATACATATATATATATATATATTTGTTCTTATGGTAACCCCGCATGAACTACCGACCTTCGTTTTGTATCATAAATACCATGTTAAACCAGCTTTTCCGGCAGGTTCGGAATCCGTATCTCTCAAAGACTGCCAAAACCAAACTCACACTTCAAGAGAACATGGTATTCAACTCGTTCAGGTTCGATGTGAGCACGCGCGCAACGGCAAACATGTACTCTTCCAATCAAAAACCAACCGCCAGGCAGCTCGTTCAGGATCGATGTGAGCACGCATTTAACGGCGACACTGTACTCTTCCAGTCGGAAACTGACTTTTTGCTGGGGCAAACCAAAAATTAAAAAACACATCTTTTGGGAAAATACACGGCCAGACTCCAAAAAGATGTTGTTTTTGTGTTCCCTAAGAAAAATTGCTTTTCGGTGGAAAAACCCATTTCTCCTGGCAAAAAGATAGCTTTGGGCTGAATAACAAACTTTTTCGTAGGGAAAGCATGGTTTGTGGCTGCAAAACAAGTTTTTTCCCAGTGAAAAGATGGTTTCTTACGGAAAAAATCAATCTATTCCTAGGGAAACTTTAAAAAAAAAACAAGAAACATTTTTTGGGAAATATGCGGCTAGACTCCAAAAAACTGTTGTTTTTGTGTGTTTTCACGAGGGAAAAAAATAGTTTTCGATGCAAAAACTAATTTTTCCCTACAGAAAGATGGTCTTGGGTTGAAAAACTAGTTTTTGTTCTATGAAAGAATTGTTTTCGTCGGAAACACAGCTTTTCCCCTGGAAAAAAAAGGTTTTGGATAAAAAGCAATTTGTTTTAGGAGAAAGATAGTTTTGGGCAGGAAATCCAGTTTTTTTTTCGATGGAACCACAAAAACAATGTTTTTGGTGTCTAGCCGCATAGCGTTCCAAAAAATGTTTTTTTTGTTTTCCCTAGGAAAGACTTGATTTTTCCGTAAGAAACCATTCTTCCCTGGCAAAAAGTTGGTTTTCCGGCCGAAAACCCATCTTTTCCCTAGCAAAAGTTGGTAGTTCAATCCAAAACTAAGGTTTTCCTAGCACGGAGTGTGCATTTCATATGTTTGCACGCGTTACGAATTAATGTTGCCAGTAAGGCTCTGTATCATTGCTATGGGTTTGGATTCCGCTCAACGTTAAGACGTTTCCTTATACTTGGTAATAACCAGGACATCGTTCGGATCAGTTTTGGCGTCGGTGGTAATAAGCCGACCATGGATGGCCTCCGTGCCTCGTCAGGGCGAATATTGCGGTGGGGAACGCCAGAACGAAGACAACAAGGGTCGTGGTTCTTAGTGGAATTCGTTTTGTGTATTTGTTATTAGCATGAGTATGGCGGCAACCGTTGAAGCAAATGCTCGGGCAGTATTTAGATTACATGCAGTAATATTAACAGTAACTAGTATTGGGGGCTTCCATGGCTTTAAAGCTGCGGGGACTTGAATGGGATCCCACAGCTACATCTGGATGAACTAACCTGTTGATGAGGCGAATGGTTGGGGTTTCTCCTAAGGCCATTATTCGGGTTGCAGTTGAAGGAAGTATCCGATACAGGGGAGTTCTTATGGGAAATATTAAGTTTGCGAGTAAGGTCCATCTCGGGGGACTGCAATATCCTTTCCTATCAGGGGGCCAATCAGGCTGATG